GCTAAGAAATGCACGTGGAGTGTGAAGGAAACGGGAACTTGCTTCCACATGAGGAATCTGTCTGGGAAAGCTGTCTGTCCCTGGAGAAATCAGGGACAGGGGATAAGGCCTAAAGATTGGCCCCTTCACATTACCCTTACCTTTTTATTCTTTGACCTCTTCACAACTCACTGAAATAGGAGGTCCATTGTTATTATCTTCCATTGGCCATGACATTGAAGATCGAATCGTGCATCTTCTATTTTACACACACCACCCTTTTAACTCAGAGGCACATCTTTGTTTCTACAAATGCTGTTGTTCATACTCAGAAATTTTCTGCTGAAGGTTGGTGCTGGAGCCTGGATTTGCCACCAAAGGATGAATTCAGTGATGGTGACTGTAGTGTTGAATTGTCTCAAAATGGCCATTCTAGGGAAAGGATGGTGTTTCCAATGCAAAGAACACTGGTTGATTCAGTGTCCAGTAAACCCAATGTTTTAAATACCCATGCACACGGTAAAGTGTTGATTGCTCTTTGTTAACCAAGTTGTGATGAAAGAATTAAAATTTGGGGGAGAGACTGGCAATGTTGTTATGGGTCTTGCCAACCTCAGTGTTTGCAGCCCTCGAGGAGCATAGCAAGAGATTTTATATTAAAGGCCTGAAAGGGAATGCAATTCCCACCTGGGAGGCAGATTATCCACTAGGCTTACTCTGCCTCATGAGGACAGCATGAATCCATTACAGATCTTTTGATGCAAAATAATAATTTTAAGATGAGATAAGGGAAAGATTTATTTCTAGCCTATTTGAAGTGACAAAAGAAGATAGCCAGATGCAGGTGACGAAATCATTTCATTCCAAGCTTTGTATAGCATTTATGTAAAATAAATGTCTTCAAATATAAATAAAATAAAAATATGTTACATAAAATAACTCTGTTGATTGCTGGGCGCTAGCTACTCAGGAGGCAGAGTTCAGGAGGATCACGGTTCGAAGCCATCATGGGCAAATAGTGAGCCCCATCTTGAAAACACCCATCACAATAAAAGGGCTGGTGGAGTGGCTCAAAGTGTAGGCCCTGAATTCAAGCCCCAGTACTGCAAAAAAAAAAAAATTCTGTTGATTAATGACCTAATTAAGCTGAGTTTTCTAGAAATACCAATTTTCAAAAATATAAACAATTCTTTCTGTCCTTGAAAGTGAATGTGACCACCAAACATATCCTTGGATTCCAGCCTTAATTTTATGAACCTCTTTTCCTTAAAAGGCAGACACGCACAAGAGAAAAAACCAAGAAGCAAACAAAATTCTTTTCCCTGTTGCAATATTAAGAGTGAACCATATTCTCTCACAAGAGGCTTTGTATACATATATGAGATAGAACGAGTGAAACCTCTTTTTTTTTTTTTTTTTGGTTATACTGGGGTTGGAACTCAGGGCCTCATGCTTGCAAGGCAAGTGCTTTACCACTTGAGCCACTCCACCAACCCCAAACCTTTTGCAATTGCTTCAAGTGAGGTGAGAAGGGAGTCGAGGACTGGGAGGGGAGGTGACTGGGGTGATCTAACCAATGTACAATGTAAATCTATTTGTAATTGTCACAATGTATCTCCCCTATACAACGAATATATGCTAATGAAAATGAATAAAATAAAAATTAAAAAGGGACAAAAGGAGTGACAGGGCCAATCACTTGACAAAGTTTAGGAATCTAAGTTAATAATAAAAGTGACAAGTCAAGGGAGATGAGGCATTCATTAGGAGAAAAAGAAGAGGTTTGTCATAATTTGTAAAGTTGTGTATAAATGAAAGAGCCCCAGGCTTTAGTCATATAGCCTCCTACATTTACCCTGTGTTGTTTTTTTTAAAAAAACCAAATACTTCATAATTTGCTTTCATAACTTGTTACTGTTTACATGTTGTATAGTGATACTCTGTTTTCTAAAGAAAAAAAGTTCATGTACCTCAACTATTTCATACTCAGAAAGTACACATTCAGAAACATGGATTGGATGACTGAAAGATCCAAGCTTACAGGATTTTCTAAGAAATTATGCTTCTTTTGGGACTAAGAAGAAAGCGTGCTGGGGCAGTGGGCTCTCTCTTGCTTTGGGTTATTTAGTCTTCCAGACCAGTTTTCTCTTTTGCTGTAGTGGAACAGCACTTGAGTGGGGACAGTGTTTGGCTCTCTGTCCCAAAGAATGTTGGTAGAATCTAGAGACATTTTTGGATATCACTATTTACAGGAGACCTGCTTCTGACAGCTAGTGAATGGAGGTCAGTGATGCTGCTAAACATGCTAAAGAGCACAGGACCCACTCCTCCCTCAATGGATCATTCATTCTTAATGCCAATAGTGCAGAAGTTAAGAAATCATGCTTTAATGCAATTCCTGGCCTGCATTGTAGCTCATTATCCTAGCTACCTAATTTATATGTGTACACTCCTTTACCAAGTCTCAATTAAGCAATTTAGCGAATATTTATTTACTCATAGGGCCATGGGGGAAAACTGCAAAAGAAAATTACCTTATGGCCTCAGCATCGAGGGGTTATAAATTCTTAATGGGAAGGCAAGGTAAACACACATTGAAAAAAGTTCCACTTCAGAAACAGAATTGGATGGGCAGTGGCTGTGGGGTCCTTTTGATTCTACTCTTCCTCTGGGAGCAGCAAGAACAGGATGCATTGCTTCAAAGCCTTGCAGAAAGACAGGCATCACTGAGTAGCCAAGGGAACTGTTGGGAGGAATTTGAAGACTGACCAAGTGAGATGCCGAGAAGCCCGGAAGGTGCTCATATCCTACAGTAGCACTAGTTAGAAGGAAATTGTGGGATTCCTCAGTGGATAAACAGGCCTGTGAGAAAAGAATTGCAGTCATTCAACTTACAGCCTCAGATGCCTTGCATCTGAGCCCTAGAGCTCACTTACAAACCTTCGAACCAACTTCCTAGGTATCACTCTTAGACATGAGCAGACTGCTCAGGATTCCCAGATATTGATTAAATATCCTAACATGTCAAACACGTAAACCTGGATGCTGTTATGTGCCTGAAACACTTCTTTGTTAAAGGGATGGGGAAGCCAGGGAAACAGGCACGTGATATACATGCAACATACAAAGAGCACTCGTTTCTTCTGGCTGCTATAACAAAGGACAGGAGCCTTGGTGGCTTAGAAACAATACACAGATATTATCTAATATTTCTGTAAGTCAAAAGTCTGAAATGAATCTTACTGATCTAGAATCAAGGTGTCTACAGAGTTGGTTCCTTTGAAAGGCCCTAGGTAACAATCCATTCCTTTGCTTTTTCCAGCTTCTAGAAGGCTGCTCACATTCCTTGACTTATGGCTCTTCATCACACTGCTTTCCTCTTTTTCTGTAGTCATATGCAGTCATGTCGCTTTTCCACTGGAACTACATCCCCAAATGCCCAGTGGAAGCCTGAAATCATGGAGAGTACCACACCCTATATATACTGCTTTTTCCTATAAATATATATGATAAAATTTAGTTTATAAGTAAGGCACAGAAAGAGATTAACAATTAATAACAAAATGGAATGATTATATACTGTGATAAAAGTTATTTAAAATTCATGAATTGTTTATATCTGGAATTTTCCATTTAATACTTTGGACCATGGTTAACTGAAGATAAACAAAACCACCCATGATGGGGGTTATTGCATCCATCTGCCTTCTCCTAATATGGACTGGCCCAACTGGATGTTACATGATAATTTCTTCCTCTCAGTATCTTCTAGATCCCTTTTGTCATGTAGAGGAACATATTCACAGGTTCCAGGGATTAGGGTGTAGACATCTTTGAGGGCAGGGCCATTATTCTGAAGCCGCAGCAGGTGATGATAAGCACGATGAGAATAATGATACAGATTGAAGAATGTGGAGGACCAGCATGGAATGACTGGAAACACCTCCTGGGCTAGCAGCCAACTGTTTCCTGTTGCACCAATCAGGTCATTTTCTCGGGTGTGTGTGAGAGAAACCATCGTGGGCATCCTGTCCCTGTGTTTTCTTCAGTGCCTCATGTATGTTTCCATAACCCTGTGGCGTCCACCCTACACAGCCCCATCCCACCCCAGCTATCAGCCCTCTTCTTCCTGAGTTGTGGATGTCACCCATTCTGCTCAGGTCTTCTCTTGCTTCCTCAGCTCTTTCCCTTTCCAGGGGAGAGTGAGAGGGCTCTGGTAGATATATTTCACCTCACTCATACATGGTGATGAGGAGAGCATGAGAATGTTCTTGCTCAGGTGCTTGCAGGTTCACACTGTTGATTAATTTTCAGGCATCTATATTCAATATCTGTGGTTCTCGGAGAGGAGGCATAGGTGTGTATTCTTAAACTGACATCCTCCCCTAAAATTCCCCAGCCTGTATTCCTGCAAGGAATAAAATGCCAATAGGCAAGTGTGCCATGGGACAAAAGACATAGAAGATGGATAGATTCCCCTCCCTTAGTACATTGCTGATCACGCAAGGCAGCACAGGCTGGTGACCCATTCACTTTGCATTTTGAAAGGTGCATAGGCTTCCCTTTAAAAACCTTTTACTTCAAAACTCATGCTTCATTTTAGAAAGGACTTGACATTGCAAATTTGTTCTTATCAAAACAACTGTCTTTCCAGAGCTCAAAGAGCAAACTTTTAGCTTGTGAAGGAGCCTGCCTTCCATAAAGAAATGACAGGAAGCGGTTGCATTTTCATTTTTCTAAACAGAAGCTCTGTTTTGGTCTTGGCCAGAAAAGGGAGGTCATGGCTGGCCACAGAGAAGGAAGTATGTGTTTTGGAAACAAAAACACAGGAAAGGGAAGACATTATTATTCACCCAGAAATTTCTTAGATCTAAATATCTTTTGAGCACATATTGTTTGGGGCAGGTGACATGGAATAATGTCCTCTTCTGAAACATGTGCAAGAAAGAAAGAGGGTCTGAGAGAAGGAGGGGAATGATCAATCATGCACCAGCATCCTTTAATTTTCTTTTGTCTCCTTGCCTTCTACAGAAAAATGAGGGTCTTTTACCTTCTGCTGATTTTTCTGTGTGGAGCCCAGAGCTACACAGCATCAAGGCCAAACATCGTCCTGCTCATGGCAGATGACCTTGGCGTGGGAGATCCTGGATGCTATGGGAACAAGACTCTCAGGTTTGGAAATAAAGTTGTTATATAAACATGTGCTCTGTGCAGTGGAGTCCCCAGGGAAGGCATGCATAGAACACAGACTGCAGAGAAATTCTATCTATAGATAGAATGAGAAATAGGTATTCTGAATGCAAGTGTGAATGTGTCTGCTTGAATATGTGCAGTGAGTTGGATAAAGACATAGCGTAAAGTCACAGCAGATTCAATGTCTGATGAGGGCTGCTTCTTGCTCTGTTCTAACGTGGTAGAAGGGCCATGGATTCTTTGGAGTGTCTTTTATAAGGGCACGAGATGCCATTCATGAAGCTCTAGCCTCATAACCTCATCCCCTCCCCAAATCCCTACTTCCTGATACCATAGCCTGGGGGATAAGGATTTCAATGTGAATTTTGGGGGAACACAAATATTATATGATAGCACTAGCAGACAATCATGAGGAGGACTATCACATTTTAGGATAACATAACTTTTAAAAACCAAGAATGATCTCAATAGTGAGAATAATGCAATGTGGACCAGACTGGGGGCATCTAACACTTGGGGCTAACCATCTCCTAGAGGAGGGTATAGTGTTTCTAGGCACTCTGCCTCACATTAACTTAATATAAGGCATATTTTAATTACTCCTGAAACAGGAAAGTAAGTCCAGCTGTGGTAAAATATAGGCATTCATGTTATGTTTTTTCTTGTTCATAATGAAGAAACGATGACGTAAAAATAGTTGGGTAAAGAGTTTCATCGCACAAAAAATATAAATACAAACTAAATGAGCTGGTGGTCTATCTATAGCTACTTGGGAAGCACAATTTGAGGCCAGACTGGGTAAACAGATTATGAGACCCCCATCTCAAAAAAAAGTCCCCATACAAAATGGACTAGAAGTATGGGTCAAGCAGTAAAGCAACTGCTTTATAAGCAAGAAGCCCTGAGTTCAAAACCCAGTCCCTCCAAAAAAAAAAAAAGCAAAACAAAACACAAACTGAATGAAAAGAGGCTGGGAGAGAAATCATTTGTTTTTACTAGAATTTTCTCATAGTACCTATGAATTATAAATGTCTGAAGCCTAGGTTGGACCCATTGCCAGGTACTGTATAATGTTGCTTTATTTTCATGCCATCCACTCTTCTTTTCAACATGACAAAACTTCTTAGAAAGTATGGTTCTCTGTTACATGTCGGATCAATCAAATATTAATTATTCATTTATTTTTGTTTGTATTTTTTGTGGTGCTGGGATGGAATTGAGTACCTCATGCATGCTAGGCAAGTGCTCTATAGTGAACTATGTCTTCCCTAGAAATTAATTATTCTTTTAAAGAAAATCTTGCTTTCCAGACATTGTGTATCTCAGTTTCCACGTGAATCTTTACATCAAATTTGCTTTTTGTTTCTAAAATGTATGTGGACCTATGATTTTGGTTAGGTATTTGAAAACATATACAGAGATAACATACATATTCCATGTTCTCTTATGATTTTAATGGGCCATATATGTGTTCTGTCCCACTTTTGGCTTTATTTTGTAAAAATAAAAGTGTAGGGATCCCTTTTAACGCTTGTGATATGGCTTTTCTTACTAATTAATTCTTCTTATGAGAGTCATAATTTCTATTTGTTTTTTCTTTCAGTGTATTTATCATTTAAAAAATATTATATTTATTCCTGAAGTTTTCTAAGGTCATAGATAACTAACCTTACTATACCTGTATCTATGTATACAGATTGTTATATATAATATAGATATATATTTATTAAAAACTAACATCCAATTTTAAAGTTAAATCTCAACCAATTGACAAATGAAAATGTATCTACAAAATCTCATGGAAGAATCCACATAACATCTGTCCAAAATCTGTCTTGATTCCCATTCTTTCTGAATGACAGTCCCTATTTATATTTTATAATATCACAGCCCAAAATAGTTAGATTCCTCTCTGGGCCAATCTAGGCACTAGAAGGTTTATGCACCTCTTCATTTAACGTGCAAGCAAAGGAAAAAGATTGACCAATGCATACACTAATTTATTTAATCATGGCAGATTACTTTTGACATTACAAATTCACAGAGATGGGTTCCTACTTTATGTTATGCAGGACTGCTCTATGAAGGCTTTGGTTTAAGGGAAGTGTGGGAGGAATGAACAAGCTATATACGCTGCCCCACAGACAACTGTCTTGGAGGACAGCTCCATGAGCAATTACATCACTTTACCATGAGGAACCTCTCATGATAAAGGACTGTGTATTGCTGTGCTACACATAGGCCAAACAGACCCATTCCATGGGGAAGAGAGTGTACTGGAATCCCCTAAGAATTTAATCTATGCCCGGACCTTAAGGAATGGAAAATAACTAGCCAGGCAGATAGAAAATTGCTTGGTTTCCTTCTGGGAAAAAATGTCATGAGATATTGCTTAGTGTGATACAAAAACTGAAAAGATTTTAACTCCTGAATGACTTCCAAAGATAATCAGCCAATTATCTCATGAAGAAAACGCAACAGGATGTCTTATACTGCATAAGCCATCATCCTAGAAGTGAACTCTTGAATAAGTATCTATTAAGTATAAGAAAACCAACCAAGGGTGTGTGAGGGATACAGCATAGCATTGTTTCACTGTAGCGTGTGGCCCTTTTTTTTCCGGGGCTACTTTAACCTATTTGTTGATATCACTGGAGCCCATCCTCTAAAACTTGGTTCCTTTCTTGTAATGCAGGGCTTAGAAGGATGGGACCAGGAGCTCAGAGCCCTTGGGTGGTATAAGTGGGCACACCTGGATCATGGTTTCATTCCCGTTTTAAGTTGTAGTTCCTCATCTCCCCTGCTGTCCATCTTCCTGCTGTCCCATACATAACCACTTAATTGCCCTTGGTAATTGAGTGACTTTCCACTGTAAAGAGCCCCAGAGACACCTTGATACTGAAGGTCAGTAAGAATGACCTGGTTGTTTTATCCTAGGACTCCAAACATTGACCGGCTGGCCAATGGGGGAGTGAAGCTCACTCAGCACCTGGCAGCATCACCCCTGTGTACACCAAGCAGGGCAGCCTTTATGACGGGCCGGTACCCAGTGCGATCAGGTAACCTCCTGTGTGCATTACTGTGGATTAAGTGTATACTTTGTCCACCTTGGGGTAACCCTCAAAAGCCAGAGTCCTGGTGTTTAAAGGTTGATTTTTCCTGCTTCAGGAATGGCGTCTCGGTCCCTGATTGGAGTTTTCATCTTCACGGCTTGTTCTGGAGGACTTCCAACCAATGAGATCACCTTTGCCAAGCTTTTGAAGAATCAAGGCTACTCAACAGCACTAATAGGTATGGGTGTCTTGGGAAGGGACAGGGAGGAAATAGCAAGTTAGCAAAAGCATGGAAGAGGGAGTTAGGACAGTCTTCCAGATGATGTTGCTGGCATACTTCCACATCTTTAAATAGGAACAAAATGCTCTTGATTATAGAGTAAAACACAAGGAGACCATCTGGAATATTTGAATATAGATATGTATCCTTATATGAGTGTGTGTATGTGTATTCATGTGTATGTAGATAGACAGGTAATAGATAAGGATACACAGACAAATAGATGATAGATAGATGACTGATAAATGATAGATTTATAGGTACATGGATGGTTGGAAGGAGTTATGCGCGTATGTATGTATATAAGTATGTATGAATGAGACAGATCATAGATTGATAGATAATAGATATGATACAGAGATAAAGAGAGAGAGAGGTAGGTAAGTAGATAGATAGATAAATGCACATATTGGTATATACAGAGAGATTATAAAACTACATGTAATAACATGATAAAAACTTTTCAGTTCATTTTTCAGTATTCAAATTGTGTGTTAGTCAGCTTTCTATCACTATAAGGAATACTGGAGGTAATTACCACTTATAAAGAGAAGAAGTTTATTTTGGCTTTTGGATTTTGAGGTTTCAGTCCATGATTGGCTGGCCTTATGCATTGATCCTATAGTAGGTAGCACATTATGGTAGGAGTTCATGTTGGAGAAAATCTTCTTGCCTCATGACTGGGAAGTAAAAGAGAAAAGAAAAGGCTGAGATTCAACTGTCACCTTCAAGGGCATGCCTCCAGTGATCTGAAGACCTCCCAGTAGGTCTTCTACCCTAAGATTCCAAGCAGTTTAGATTCTAAGACCTCCCCAAAGCACCAAGCCAAGTACCTAGCCTGCAACACATTGGCCTTTGGGGGACATTTGAAATCAAAATGTAGCAAATTGTGTTAGAATTTATAATGGTTGATACTCCGATTGATTTTATCCCATTGGCAGGAATGATGCATTCTCCCTATTTGCTTACCTGCTTGGTCCATAGCAGGTCATAAGAAATCCTAAAGAAACTCATGGAAGCAAAATGAGTCTCTCCTTCCTCTCACATCTTGTTATAAAATCAACATCTTCTTCCCTGTACCTCTACCCCATTGATGAGGCACTTATTCACTTAGTGATATAATTTGCTTCTGGGTTTTTTTTCTTTTTTGAAACAGGGTCTCAACTCTGTAGCCCAGGCTGGCTTTAAACTCACTATTTAGACCAGGTTGGATTCAAAGTGATGATGCTCCTCTTGTTGCTAGTGCTGGGATTACAGACATGAGCTGCCACATGCAGCATAACTAACATTTTATATGAAACTTTCAGAAGTGTTTAAAATAATTGCTAAGTTACTGAGTGGTTTCTACATGCCTCAGGGTTAGGTTTTTGAATAAGGATTCATTTCCACTTTTAACATTCAAGGAACTGAGTTGGTTCTGAAACTTCAATGCTGAGTGCATATGTCAGAAAAATATCTTATATATAGTTTTGTTTTGTGCCTATTGAAGATATTGGATGGTTTTATACTTATGTTTTTAGAAATTTATTATAAAATTATAACTTGCATTTGGTAAAGCGAGTACTAGTCACTTAGTGTTTGTGAAATAAGAAGGAAACCCATTACAATTTGGATATGGAATATCCCCGAAAGGCTCATGTGTTGAAGGCTTGGTCTTCAGCAGGTGACACTGCTGGGAGGTAGTGGAACTTGAGGAGGTAGGATCTAATGGGAGAGATTTATATCACTGAGTGTGTACCCTTATAGGTGATATTGGGACCCCATCCCCACCCCTCTTTCCTGGCAGATGAGATGAGCTGTTTCCTCCAGCACATGCTGCTGCCATGATGCTCTGCCTCACCAGAGCTCAGAAACAGTGAAGCCCCAGGAGCATGGATGGAATCCTTGGAAGTCTTGAAATAAAATAACTCTTTCCTCCTTGAAGTTGATTATCGCAGATATTTTGTCACAGCAATGGAAAACTGTCTAATATAACCTGTATGATCTTATGAGTTGGAAGACTGGTGCATAAAATACACAGAAAGGGCATACTTTCTGGCATGTGCCCATAAGAAGCTGGTGTTCCAATTATGAGATTTAGTGGGCCTAAATGTGTCACCTATTTTTCTTCTCAGGGAAATGGCACCTTGGAGTAAACTGTTACAACAAAACTGACTTTTGTCACCACCCTCTACGGCATGGCTTTGACTACTTCTATGGACTCCCTACAACCAACTTGAGGGACTGCAAACCCGGGGAAGGTTCTGTCTTCACTTCAGCCTCCAGATGGCTGGTCTTTATCCCCCTTCAGATCATCGGAATTGCTGTGCTGACCTTAGGGGTGCTTCACTTCCTAGGACTGCTTCATGTGCCCATCAGCGTTTTCATCTGCCTCCTCCTTCTGGCATCCTTAATCCTGATCCTCTTCCTGTGTTTCCTTCATTACTTCCGGCCTTTGAACTGCTTCCTGATGAAGAACTTTGACATCATCCAGCAGCCCATGTCCTATGACAATCTCACCCAAAGGCTGACTACAGAAGCGGTTCAGTTCATACAACAGTGGGTATCAATCACCTTTTCTTCTGAGATCTTGATGACTTCCAATAGAGGTAGAAAATCCAGAATGGTGATTGTCACTACATTTTCCCTTCAATATTCCAGAGATCCTGACTAGGATCTCTGGAAGGAGGGATATGGGAAATGACAGGTTGCATGTTGTTTGAAATAGATGCTTCTAGTATAAAATGGCTATTATCCACATTGGAGCAATGCATGGACAGTATTAGTGAACATAGTAATGTTTGTATACCATGATACAATTCAGAAAAATCTTGGTATATCCATTATCTGAAGATACAAATATTTAAAACAACTAGGTAAAAATCAACCTTAAAAATTTCCTTCTGTGTTGTATTAGTTATCTGATTCAAGAATGTGGCATTCAAGAGTCCTGAGAGAATTGCCAAAGAATCATAACAATGGTGACACCACCTGTTCAAAAAGCATTTTTAAGGATCTGAAGACACATTTATGTCTTCATTAGTCAGAGTATCCTGAACAATTTACGCAGCTCTTACCACCTTTGTGAGACATGGAAGTAGAGTTTCATCCAAAGCAGAAAAAAGAGAGTCTAATCAAAGCAATGACAATGTTAGTGAAATTGACACAAATGCTTTTGAATTTAAAGTTACCCAATTGGAACCAGTGCCTTATTTAGGCGTGCTAGCATTTAAAAAATCATTTTTGTGTATACACCCACTCTTCCATTCATATGTCAAATGCAATGAGGAAAATGATTTAAGTTCTTACTTACAAAATTTAAAGTCTTTCTCTATGCCTTGCTGCTTATATGATTTATACTCAAGGGTTTGTTCTTGAGATGCTAGTTGAAGGTTTTAAGATATGAATGACAGGGACATAGGGCAAAGATGCTTCATTTGTTTGTGATTCTCACAAATGAGGTCTGTTTAATCAAATCTGCTAAGTGATCCAGGATCACAAGCTTGTATTTCCATGTGCAGGAAAGAGATACTTTAGCATATATAACCATCCACTCCACAATCCCTCACCCTAATTTACTCCTTCAGGGCTAAATTTATGTTGGGGAGATGCTTCTATTATTAGAGAGCTAGATAATTAGCTCACCATATGTTATCCTCCATATAGTAATTCAGGAGACAGGTCATCCTTAATGCTCTTTAATTAGCAAGAAATCTGTGTTGCTTTTAAAAGGAGTGAGCTGCAAATTTCTTGGAGACACTCAGCTCTCCTGATGTGCCCTGAATGAAGGGTCATTCTGTTATCATGAAGCTTTGATCTTTTACTCTCTCTGTTTTTCAATGCAATGTAGAACAGACTCAACCTAAGTGCCCAGTGCAAATGGTACCATAGTATGGTGCAATGTTTAGGTGAAACAGATACTTTTTGAGTGGTTTCCAATTGTACATGAGGCACTATGGATATTCACATTATAAGTGTGCACCTTTCATACTTGTTTTCCTCAATGACCTTGGCAGCCTGGTTGACAGACATCTTATCAGGGAGAAACTTTAAGGTTGAAAACATTTTGGTGAATATTCAGAGACTCACAGGTCATAATATAGACTGGATTAAAAAACAGAGCTAATGCAAGCGTCTTGGTTTTGGAGCTGACCATAGAATTGAGTACTTTCTTTGATCTTTCATTGATTTGAGCATGGCAGAATTGCTGACAAGGTGCAAGTGAGGCTTAATTGGAAGAAATCTAAGGCATTGTGTAGGAATCCCAGTGCTCCTTCTCCAAATAGAAGAATCTAAGTTCAATGTTCCTGCCCAGCCACAAAAGGAGAATGCATCTTTGTAGTTGCATTACCAAACCAGGCCCATTTTGCCCGTCTTGCTTTAAGCCAATCACCTAAATGATAAATTTTGCAAAAGGGGAAAGGTTTATTCATGAGGCAGTCAAGTGAGAAGATAGGAGACCAAGTCTCGAGTCTATCTCCCCAAGGATAGGATTTTGGGGTACTTATGGGGTAAAGGATCAGGATGAGCTAAAGCATGGGGAAGTTTTTTGGAAATAAAGGAAAAAATGGAATAACCAATGATCTGTGCATGCATAATCAAATTTCATGGTTCTTCCTAGGACACATTTCAAAAAATAGTGGTGATCAAGTGATCTAAGGACAGAGTTTTTAGCCCTCTGATGTCAAAGATATTACCTAATGGAGACTTCTGCAGGCCCAAGTGAAGAGCCCATGGTTCTAGGTGGTTTGAGGTAGACCAAAAAGGCTTAGGAACCTGTTACCATCACAAATCAGAAGTGTTACCTACAGCAATGCCTGTGGGAATCTAATAATATGTTGCTTAGCTATGTAATATGTAAGGCTGGTGATTTTTAAAGTCACCTAAAAGAAAGCAAGTAAAGCAAGTAAATAGGTTAAGTCTAGAGGGTTTATTGAAGTTTTCTTTGCATTTTAATTCTTGTTCTTTGGAGACAGGTCTTGCCATGGAGCCCAGGCTGGCCTCAAACTTTGGATCCTTCTGCCTCAGCCTCCCAAGTGATAAAATTACAGGAATGTACCACCATGAATGGCTTTTTATTTCAATCTTAATATGTGTTGTACAGCCCTAATCCAAAATTTTGAAATCCGAAATGCTCTAAAATCTGAAACCTTTTGTGTGCCAACATGTTGCCACAGGTGAAAAATTCTACACTGTGAAACTTTGTTTCATGCACAAAATTATTTAAAATATTGCATAATTTTATCTTCAGGCTGTTTGTGTGAGATGTGTATGAAGCATAAAAGAATTTTGTGTTTGTATTTGTGTCTCCTCCCCAATATATCTCATCGCATACATACAAATATTCCGAAATCTGAAATCCCAAACACCATTGGTCATAAGCATTCTGGATAAAGAGTATTTACATTGTGTAAATGTCAGTGTTGGTAGCATTATCATTACTATGGTGATGGAGAAGTCTCTAGAAATTCTGAAAGGAAAATAAAAGGCTATGTGATGATGGGCAAATTTAGCAAGATAATTTTATTCACAAAGCAGTTTTTCTTTAGTTCAACTTAAGGGTGAATTTTAAAATGTGTCATGCCTATAGGTAGAATGAAATTCTTGTTTTGCATCATCTTGCCTAGAGAGAGATGAAACTTTGTTATCCCACTCTGTGAAAAGCCAGATATGTTGTCCTAATTCCTTTTTAAATTCATTGAAAACAGGACATCCTTGTTAGGAAAAACATTTACATTTAAATATATCACTTTTTCTTTTTCTCTGAAAATATATGCATATTCACTATGAAGGGTAAATCTTCCATAAACAATGATGACTTTGTACACATCCACGTAATATGTGTAACTTATGATGCCATGTTATTGGATCCATAGATTGATAGGAAATTTGCCATGACTGTTGTCTTCTCTAGGCTTTAGTTTATGTAAATTCTATCAACTTATTAAATGTGTGTGTGTGTGTGTGTGTGTGTGCACATGCTTTGGGATGCCATTATCAGAAGTCAAATAAATGCTAATCCTTTTCACTTAAGCTCTATAGAGAATAACTAAATGCATCCTCTAGCAAAGGCTCTATGGATAAAAAATCCCAAATTTAGACTTGATATAGAGATCTAGTTCTAATTTCTCTATTTCCCTACTTTTCATTTTAACAAACCCTGCTTCCTCATCAAATCACCATGATAATTACTTAAATACTGGTAAGGTTGCAGGGGGGAGATATATGCCTGTATGCCTGGAATAATTACTCTCATAGAGGCATCTTTTTCTATTATTTTTTATGGTCTGTAGTTTTGCAGCAAATAAATACTTCTTTCCTATGAGCATGGCTTGTTTTATCATAATTCCCTAAAGCCTGTGACAGCTGATAAATGTATCATCTGGAGATATGACCTTTCATCCTATTCAACTGCCATCACAGTTTGGCACAGACTGGATTCTGAAATGCATTTACAGCATACCTCCAACCTTAGCCTTTCACATTTCCAGCTGGGCCATGGTGTAAGTGGTCATGATGGATCACTGTGACTTGGCACTAAATGTCTTTTGCATAAAAGGATCTTGGGAGAATTTCATTATTTTAGGTAAGAGTTTAAGCCAGAGAAGAATAGGAGGATATTGATTTTAATTCATGGTTAGAAAAATAAATCAAATTAAACAATTAAACATTAAGGGCAACACGCAGGGATAAATTGCATTCCTTCAAAAATTAAAAGGTTAAATAATTAAAGAAGTACTTTCAAAGAACCAAATTATTCCATAACAGTGGATAACATTTGATTTGTTTCTAACTTTGCTGAAAAGATAGGATATATACTTAAGAATGGAGAATGTTCTTTGAATGAAACTCTTGTCCCCAGCTAAGCCCTTTGTAACTGAATTCAGTCTGACCTTCATAGCCACAGAGGGTTAGTTCCAGGATCCCCTGCAAATGCCAAAATCCATGGGTACTCAAGTTCCTTGTATAAAATAGCATAGTGTTTATATATAACCTATGCATATCCTCCTATATACTTTATATCACCTCAAGGTGACTTATAATACCCAATATAATGCAAATGCTGTGTAAATAGTTATTATATTATATTGTTTAGAGAATAATAGCAAAAAGTCCGTATGTGCTCAGTAGAGATGCAGTTATTTCTTTGAGTATTTTTGATCTGAGATTGGTTGAATCTTGGGTGTGGAACTTATAGATATGTAGGGGCTTCTGTGTACAGTTACAGAGTGATGTTCACCTTTTTTTCTATACTGGGTCACTTAGAACCGTGGTATTCTTACCTGACTGGGGAACATATAAAGGACTCTGAGCCCTTACCTAGCAAATGCCTCTGCCATCATATATTTCTGAATACCTGCATAGATTATGTGAATAGGTCACATATTTACCTATTTATAGAAAACATTCACATATACCAGCCCACATACTGAAACTTTGGAATCTGCCTCTCTCTTGTAGCAGGTTCTGACCCCTGCTAGATTGAGATAAGTTCTCATTCTCTTATGTTCATCCTCTGAACCACTGTGGAGTGGTACTTAAGACAGGCCCGTGCTCTGATCTGAATTGTATGCTGCTTTCCTTCCTTTCCAGCTTTCCTTTATATTTCTGGTTCCTAATATCACAATAGCCAGACATTTAATAGATGTGAAATACATGGGTGCAAGCAATGAACAGCTGAATGAGTAGAGCCCATATGCTGACTACAGCAGTAGTCACGTGCACTCCAGTGGGGTGACTGTTGATGTCCTTTGTTATCTGCTTTATACCTTACTCTGATCACCAGCAGCACAGGCTTGCAGAAAGCATCAATAGATATCCCCCTTTGCATTTGCATTATTCCTTACACTGACTCAAGTTGGAACACTAGTGGAATAAAAAAGTTCAAACACTCAGATGCATAATTTTACACTCAAGTATCATTCACAGCAGACAGAAAACAAAACCAAACAAACAGAACCAATGTCTTAGCTGTCTCCCTGCCTAGACCATCAGCCTTGAGTTGATAGCATGTAAATCTTTCCATTCTGAGATTGGAATGATTGCACATTGCTGTGAAGGCTGAGAGTTACTGTCTATACAGTATGTTTAACAAATGGAGTAAAGGCATATAACGGTTGAAAGTTCTATCTTTTCACATAGTTATGCAAGACAGTGGTAATAAATTTTCAAAAGACTTGTTTACTGAACTACTTCAGCTAATAAAACAGCAGTTATGCTGCTATTGAGAAATCTACCTCCCACCAGCTCAGCCAGTCTGCTTCAGTTCCCAAGGTCCTGAAGAGAAAAGGAGAGGCAGATGTCCCCCAGGGATCCTGAAAGTGAGGTCAATGGTTTTCTCTGAATTCTTGAAGGATATTCATACTCGAGGATTCCTTTACCTGAGAGCATGCTGTCAATCATGTCCCCGGAATGGGTGGAAACACCAGTGATTTATGTCTGTCTAGCCCACATCCTCCAGCACTGTTGGTTTGACTTCTATTCCTGGATGTTAAATCTTGGTAGGGTGTTTTGGCAAGCCGGATATGCTTTTCTATGTTTCTAGGTTTGCTTTTGCATATAAAACCTATCATTCTATTTTGACACCTAGGACATAGACAGATAAAGCTCTCGGTAACTTTGATGTCTCCTTTACTAAAAGAAAAACTGTTTTATGGAGAAACAATAGGCAAATAATTCTATAAATTCTCTAAATACATGCATGTGAAGAATAAACATGAGTCTCTTTGCTTCTTCCACTGCAGATCTTCCTACATTCAAACAAAAGTCACATTCCATGGACAATCTTGAACTCTGAATTACTGGGGTTCTAACTCAATGTCTGTTGCTACCTTCCTTATAAATTGGAGTTGATCTTGAATTACCTTTTCTGCCAGTTGCACCATCTTTATCATTTATTTTTCCATTTACACTTAACGTTTTCATATGCCTCTATCTTGTGACTCTGCCAGTTGTGTTTACAGATGCCTTTTTTGTTCATCTTTTTTTTTCTTTTTAAAAAAAAAACTTTTGGGCAAGTGGACTACCATCCAAACTTGAAGTGTCCAAGTTGACACTGAACCAGAGCCAATAACAGACATTTCAAGCCATGCAATCACTGTTCATTCTCTGCAAATTCTGTCAGTTACATCCTGTACTTCCAGTGATGACCATAGGCTGTGCACAGAAGATTGACTTTTAAAGCTTCCTTATCCTTTTTTGCTTAAGTTTAAATTCAAAAATAACTGGGAGGACAGGTGAGAATGAAATTTCAGTGAAACTATATGCATACATAATGTAAGTGTTATGTAAGCACAATCGTGGAGGGGGTCATTTTGTGTTCCTTTTGAAGGAACACAAATTGATGCTAGTTTTTAGGGCCTTAGTTTGCTTTCTAGGAGCAGAGTGTAGTTTATCCATGTATGAATAAACTTCCCCCACAATTGTGAGGATAGAGGCTGCCCAGATCTGCCAAAATCTCATGCACAGCACAGCTCAGTTTGGGTTCCTCAAGGTCATCTATCCTCCAAAGAAGCCAAAGGCGTACCTTGGTACACATATTCCTGGGCAGATGGTCAGCCAAGATGACAGTCCCAATGTTGCTTCCTTCTGAATATTAGTAACTATTTTTAATGGGATTTAATGGCAAGATATGTAGACCTGATGCTCTGGGTTCAAGTCTTATGCTTTCCAATTCTGGTTACTATGAGAGGTGAGACAAGCCATGTAGTCTCTCTCTCTCTCTCTCTCTCTCTCTCTCTCTCTCTCTCTCTTTCTCTCTCTCTCTCTCTTAATTTCTTAGTGGCAAAATAATAACAGCATTCCTTTATCATTTACTCTGCCACCAAGTACTGGAAGAATAAAATCCTTTACTGGGGGTTAACAATGACTTGCTGGTTTGATCTACTCATTTTCATAAAACAGAAAATGTAAGGCTCAGCTCTACACAAAATGCTTATTTTTTCTTTTTTGGTGATTTTTTCCATTTCAAAGGACTATGAGTTAATACATGTGAGGATCCACCTTAGAAAGGAAGTGTTATAGACATGAGGCATTAACCCAGAACTCTATGGGTTTAGAGTACAAGGTATAATTAAATTAGGAAATTACATATGCACTTAGGAAAGTATCATCCATTTATTTTTGCAAGGTAAAATTATTAAAGTCATGATATCCAGTCCTAAAATTCAAATGTTTTGGTTATCATGAGGAATTAAGAGATCCATATATATAATGAAAGCAAAATTAATTTTATTCTGTGTATTCTTTCTTTAGAACTTTTACACAGGGACAAAGGTGTTGAACATAGGGGATGATCCCTTCCCCTAAGTGACAAGAGACTTAGGATAGAAGTTGGGTATAGTAATACTGTAGAGAAACTTTTGCATGAACCATGTTGTGTTGACGCATTTCTACAGTTCACTAGACTGCTGAGTGGGGCTGCCAACACTGAGAAATCACATTTGGTACTTCATCCAGTAACAGAGATACACGGTATTTTTGCTTCATGCCAAACACAATGCTGGCTCCTGGAATACAAGGATGTAAGGACACGCCCCAGCTCCTTGTACAGTGAGGAATATAAACACATAAGTAGCTCTTGTGTTGTAGAGCAAATGCTGTATTCAAAATTGTATTCATTCATCCATGTATTCATTCATTCACTCATTCACACGATAATAGTGTTAAGCATCTTCTTATGGAGAGCATTTGGGAGGCCTAGGTATTCAACTGATGACTCATTTGTCATGGGACTCCCTAGGCCAAGGGAAACAGTCTTTCAGAGGTGGTAGCTTCTGCAGGATGACTTTTCTCTAGGGAGTGGAAGAATTAAATTTTGGGAGAAAGAATGTCAGGTGCAGGTCATTGAGCTGTGACTATGCAAGCCATGTTCTGGAGTAGCAAACACATTGAGTTTGAACTTGGAGTGTGTGTAAGTGCTTGCATTAGGATAAGGTTTGTCAGAAATCTCCATGATTTTATGGGAAGCAGAGGCCTACATTTTTAAGGAATCCACTTAACTTCACAGAAGTGGTTAAAGGAAGAGCTAGAATCAGGATGATAGCAAGGCTTTGAGAGTTGGCAATAAGGCAGTGGCTTCCATGAAGGTGTGTTGCCTCTAAGCATTGCAGCTTCATGCACTTGTCTCTACAGCTTCATCCACCTGCCCTGGGACGTGGACACACATCCCATGCTCCAGTAGTTTTCAAGAAGGCCATTTAATATTCTCATTTAGCAAGTACATTAGCCAGTTTTTAATTGCTGTGACTAATATCTGAGAGAAACAATGTACAAGGGGATTCTTTATTTTGGCTCGTAGTTTCAGAAGTTACAATCCATGGTGGGCTTGCTCCATTGTTTCTGGGTCTATAATGATACAAAACATCATGGCAGAAGGGTATGGTGTAGGAAATCTGCTCACCTTATGGTGACCAGGAAGCACAAAGTGAGAAAGAGCATGCCTGCCTGATGGACTGCTACTTCTGTGTGTACTGATCTCCTAGGTTATCTCCCAATCCAGTCAAATTGACAAGTGAGATTAAGCATCACAGCAAGAAAGAAATTGCCATTCTTAGACAGAGGTAAATACTGAGCCTATGATGTGAATCTGAAATACAGCAGTAAATGCATTTTTAGAGGTCAACTCAATGTCAGAAAGAATCGAGTCTGGGAAAAGAAGTGAGTCAATGCTAGGAAGAAGTGAGTCAATGTCAAAAAGAACCAATATAACTCATTGATCCATTTCAGTCCACTCACTCATGAAACCTTAGAGCTTCACACAATAATCTTACCCATTGCTCTTGTAGCAAAGGCCACGTATGAAAATGATATGGCAATGATGTAGAAATCTGTGTGTTTGAATCAATTTAAATGCAGTCAGTTTAGCCACACATTGAATTAATGAACAATTTTGCAATACCACTCATCTCTCTTAAATGAAACTAGAGGATTAAATCCCTACAAGGAATGTTCCACTTAATTTCCAAAATTTCAGTATTGACAATTGAGGGTTCATTCTGGGATAAGAAGAAGGTACATAATGCTACAAAACAAAGATAAATGGGTGTTAAAAAGTTGTTGATAGAAATATTTACAAGTCAAGGTTCTGTCTTTACTATAGTAATGTGTGTGTGTGTGTGTGTGTGTGTGTGTGTGTGTGTGTGTGTGTGTGTGTGTATTCTCTCCCTAAGTGAATACTGTTTTCAAGAGACTTGAATTCATAGTAATTGCATTACTGGGAGGGAAGGATAGAATAAATAAATAAAATGCAGGCAATTTTATATCACATTTCTTCCAGAGTTGTGTGATCAGCAGAAGCTGTCTCAATAATGTAATTACTTCTGTTTGATGACCCATACAGGGTAATTAAACAAAAAGGCACCTCATAGAAATGTGCCTTTTGCTGAATAAAAGCTACTATATCAAGCAATTAAATTGTGGTATTTTGTGAATTGTTATTATTATTATATTATTATATATCAACTATTATACTAAGTTGATCCCAGTCAAAATGTTAGGGAGTGTCCTTTTATTGACCTTGACATTTTTGTTGTTTCTTTTTTTGCAGAAATGCTGAGACACCATTCCTACTTTTCTTGTCTTTCATTCATGTGCATACAGCCCTCTTCTCCTCCAAGGAATTTGCACACAAAAGCAAACATGGCCGTTATGGAGATGCTGCTGAAGAGATGGACTGGAGTGTTGGTAAGTGTGTCTTCCATGTCTACTTAGAAAATCACTCTTTGCCTCCTTCTGTGTTATTTTGCAGAAAATTCTCCCTATGTTCCTGATGCTTTTATAGAAGGCAAGTGTGTTTTTATCTTTTCAAGAATGTTAACCAAAAAGCATTAATTATGAAAGGCAAGCAGAATACAGAAAACATCTTCTGCTCTGTATGGCTGCCTGCAGTTACCAATAGCTACATCCCCAAGGGGAAGTCTGGGTCTGTGGGTGGTGGAAGACATTAATGGAGCAAAGGAGTCAAAACGTTAGACCTTAACATCACTCATCCTCTTAATAATTAAATATCAATAATGACTTGTCAGGAATGATGTTAGATAAGGGGTAGATTTTGGATCCACAATACCCGCAGCTGAATCTATTCTTGAAGAGTATGTTGGGGTCCTCTTTGGATGTGCCTGTCATTGACGTATTAGGAAATTGTGTTTCTGTCTTCTATAACTCATTTTCTTTTTGCTACATCTGATGGTGTACAAACATTTCCTTGTTCTCCCTGTCATTTTTTCCCTCTTCTTAAGCAAATAACCCTATTTATGAGAAATATGGTGCTTTTTTCATAAGACACTGGGAAGACTTTGTTCTGGAGCCCGTGTTTAAAAATATATGTTTTCCATGTGTACATGAAGTCATTACTATGCTTTCTTTGCCTTTCTCTGCTAAGGAATCTTGAGTCCATTCCATAGATTGTAAGGAAGTGTTGACATCGAATGTGGTTTATGCAAAGGAATAGAAAATCACTGGACTCTGAATTTGTCATTAAGTTCTAGTCTTTTCTACTGACATCATCTCTAGCTTTTACATTACTCAGTCCATCTGGATGAAATACAAGAGACATGAGAATGGTGTTTAAAAGCTGGTATTCAATCAAGTTGCTTAAAATTTTCATGTACTTTTCCTTTTTTCTCTTTCTCATTCTTTATTCCTATTCCTTTTCTGCACTAAATGGATGGTTTCTAACTTTTGCATCTATATGTTTTAGAAGCAAATGAATACTGCCACAGAGTTCTGTTTGTGGTATTGTTTTAAGTAGCAAGTTGAACATGGTGATGGTCACTTACTATGGGGATTATAAGAGTAAATTTGGCTTTGTTTTGATTTAAATCATGGAAGGTGCGCAGTCTTAAAAAACAAGAAGTTTGGGCCCTTATTCCAGCTTCTACCTTTTTTTATTTTTCTGGTACTAAGATTGAACCTAGGGCCTCACATATGCTAAGAAAGATTCTACCACTGAACTACATCTTTGGCCCCTTTTCATTTTATTAAGACAGAGTCTCACTAAGCTTCCCAGGCTGGACTGGAACTTGTAATCCTCCTACTTCAGCTTCATGAACAACTGGGACTACAGGTGTGCACTACCATGCTAAGGTGCTTCCACCTCTTTTTTTTTAACCTCTCTTCCTCTGTGAACTTGGGCAATGTCTTAAATGTATAAATCTTTTGTCTATTATATCAATGTGATGAATTCAGAGTAGGCAAGTTCTGACTTCCTTCTCTAATAGTCTATTATTCTACTAAATAAGAAGAGTGAGTATAAATGATAAATACAATCTAGGAAAAACAAAACCAGAGTATTCTTCCTATCAACTGTTTAAAAGTATGTATTATGCTTAGGGCTTTTACATCAATCAATGCAAACCTGCTTTTGTTTTTTTCTTCCTAAAATGTTGCATGTAAATCAATTTAAATTTTCTATACCTTGGTAGAGTAAATCAGAAGAATATTTTGTAGTGTGAATCAGTAGAATATTTTATCTCTTTAATGAGTGTTAGAATTTAATCTGTCAGGTTTTTTATACAAATAGGACGTCTGTTGGCTGGTAAGCAAGCACATGCTGATATCACACTTATTAATTTTTATTTAATTATAATGGCACATATGCCTACTCCCACTCATTAAAAGTTTAACTTGCAGCATTGTTCTACTACTAGTTTTTTTGCTAGTATTTTTGGAGAGTATTTTTCAGTCTTTGAGATCTGTATAAGACACTGCTGTAACATTTATTAGATGATTGTGTTCTTTCTTTTTCTGTGCAAAAAGATAAAATCCTCCCCCTATGGCATTATATTAATTTCTTACAAAGTTTTTATTATTTTATAAATCTCATTTATCTGACTGTTTTGAGGGATATTCCTTTTTTCTTTACTGAGAAGGGTCTTTCTTTTTCACCCAGAACAGGACTGTAGCATCCTGACTAATTATGTAATAAAATCAAAAGAGGATAGCTCCTTAAAAGGAAACATTCCCTGTGCAAAGGAAAGATGAGGCAGAAGCAGTTAGCTGGGGAGGGCACATCTCAGTTATTCATAGCATTCCTCTTTCAGAACTTTTGAGGGCCTGCCATGTAATTATAACCTTTTCTATAGCACTTTTCTCTGCCTGGGGAGGCATGTTCATGACAAAGAACTCTTATTATTTAATTACTGACATGGTCAGATCCTTCCAATGTTATTATGGTTTATTGCTTAATTCTGCACTATGTCATTGCTTTGTCATGTATTCTTGCAGTAACTCAAGGAAGGCTGACTTCACATACAGGGTGAGATGGTTACAAAAGGAGTTTCACAATACAATCACATAAGGAGCTTAATATCCTGGGACTATAATACTATCATGCAAATTCAAGGGGTGCTCAGCGTTTCTTAGATGTTCCTGGCTGTTGATAGCTTGCTGCATACCTGGCCCAGGATTTCACATGCATGACCTCTCTTTGGGCTACCAACTATCCATTCAGCAGGTAGCATGCTGGCATTCTCATTCTATAGGAAAGGCAGGTGGGGTTTGGAAAAGGTGAAGCACACCTGCTTCAAGAATTCATATTAGATGAGTGGGTATTCAAATGCATGTTTCCCAACCAGAGCCTGAAATCCACACCATCTTCTTCTTTCCACATCATTAGGAAGGCTGCACTGTAGCTGTGCAGGGTCAACAGTAAATCTCAAGGAAAGAGCTAGTTACCTATTGGTCATGTTCATCAGATGCCAACTGTATGCCTAATTGTCTTTTGGGGAAGAAGGATGTGATAAGGATAAACTCTTGGATTAAGCAAATGTTGAGGCTACTAAGGGATTTAAGATTCTCCCAGGGTGTTTTATAATAATGTAGGGTGAAAAGTACAAAATAGCCTAACTAAGGCACAAAGTGCTTGAGCAATTTTAAAAGATGAAGGTCAAGCTCAGGTATATGCACAGAACAGCCACATAACTTCAGCAGGACGTACCCACAGTGGGCAATCATAGCACTATGACAAAGTCTTATTTCCAGTCCTAATTCATTTGGAAGTATCTAAGTGTTGGGAAGGTGCAAATGTATAAAATCACATTGTTTTCAAATGTACACCAAGCATTTTGGGGTGTATAATTCTGCCTATTTGGGACATGGAATGATACTTGCTATAGACCTGTTCATAGATGAGGGTTGGATGGGGCAGGTGGAGGGATGTGCATCGTTGTTATCATGGCTTTCTCCTCTTGAGCTTATACCATCATAGTGATCACAGCTCTGGTGTATTGGTGGAATTTGCATGTAATCAGCATTTATTTTGAGCACCATGCTATTAATAGAGCCACATGGAGGACTCATAGATCAGCACTTGCCTAGGATTAGACTAGAAAATTCTATATTCTTACAAAGAGCAATGTATGTGAAGAATGATAAGGGAACACCAAAACAAATCTCTGGCTTCAAATCAAACCTTCTTATTAAAAAAAAATTCTTGCCATTGCTAAAGGTTGGAAGCAAGTGGGTTTTGTGAGATTCTCTTTGCCAAATGAGAAGGATGAGTCTTTTTCCTTAGGTGGGAGAAACACGAGCATGCTATTTAGACTCCATAACTCTTCATGGATTTGGTGTTCAGTTACTGAACATTTGTAATGTGGCACTTATGAGGGGCAGAGTCTCACAAGGACCCTTGGTTTCTCCTCTTTGATTCTGCCATCCCCTCAGCTGCCTCAAGGGCTCTAGATTAGCCAACTTCTGTGGACATGGAGAATCAATGGAGAACAAATGCATTCATGAAAGATGAACTGGGGAAATGGTGCAGAACCAATTCTTTCCTGTGCTGGGCCTGATATATAGTTATGCTTATGCATCTCCACATAGCAGCCACAGCCATGTATCTATGCAGTCTTTAGTGCTGAAAAAAATTGAAGAATCTCATTCACAAGAGATCAGGACAGTGATAAGAATCCCCCAAGAAACAGAAGAAAATTGTCCTTGGGGAGCCCAGGTATTGGCCTAAGCCCTTTTACTAAGACAGCATAATTTAAACCAGAGCTTGGCTTGTTGGATTTGGTTCTGTTAGATTTTTCCATTTTAAAATGGACTCCATCTAGAATGGTTCAACCAAAGTAGTTGTGGAAATGTGACATGAAGGGTGCAATGCATAACCCCTTAGTTTACAGGTACATTTTGTTGAACAAAATTGCTCTGGTTTAGATTAAGCAAAACACATCTACTTTTAGAATTCTATACTACAGGTGGATAATGCATGCTCAATAAGAAAATTTTAAGGTGAACTCATAGAGAATGAGTGCCTGATATTTGGCAGGCCACATCTAATGTGCCGGGGATCATTAGGAACACATTCATGAATGAAGGGTACTGTCACTTTCTCCTATATATGTAGATAACAGGCCAACCATACAAGTGCATAAAAAACACTACAACATTTAAGACAGCTGAGTCCACAGTTTGTCTAAAACCAGGATGAAAGTTTAGAAATCATGTGTCTTCTTCCTGCAAACTGAAGACCTTTAAAAAAGCAATGCCCACATTCTCTTAGTCGTTTTATTGTTCTATACCGAATGGAATCTGGACTGCAGGACTATATAATTCCCTTGGTACTCACACTGCTATTTTTCTATCTGGAATTTCTTAAACATTCACTTCTTTAAAACATGAAAACAATGTGCTTGCTTCTGGTACCTACTAAGGATAGAAGGTTTGGTGGGACTTTCAAAGGAAGA